AAATTAGATTCTCATGTCATTTGTAGGTTGAGCCAATCTCTGTTAACTTCATATCTAAGGTACTTATGTAGCCCCCCACCACTATAGAGTCTGAGCCCCCCCAGATTCTTTAATGTCTTTATTCTCACAATACCCCTGTAAGGTAGGGAGGTACCCCTGTAAGGTAGCCCCATTTTACAGATGGGGGAATGGAGGCACAATGGTACTTAGGTGTCTAAGTCCCAGTTTTAGGCTCCATTGTGATGCACAAAACCCCCTTCTGCTGCCATTGCCTAAACACACTCAGCGCCTATGTTTTCAGGGTAGACGCTCCCTAGGACCTATATTTCTGCCTCTGAGCATGCACACTGCTGCTTCACTCTGGGAGTCTAGTCTTCTACCTAAGCCCCAGAGCGAGCCACAAACCGGGGAAGACAGGAGGAGATGGTGGTGCCGCCATCGCCAGCCACTTTATATCTTTTAGCCCAGCAGTTAAAGACTCACCTGGGATGTGGGAGACTCAGGTTCACTTCCCCCATCTGCCTGAGGGGGAGAAAGGATTTGAATAGCGGGCTTCGACTTCTCAGGACTGTGCTCTAACCACTGAGCCATGGGATAGTCTGATGGGGTGGGGGTGCTCCCTCAATCTCTCCTGTTGAAGCTGTTCTAATTTGGATAAATATTTAGAGTCACTGGGCTAGAGAGACCCTCTATAGCCTGGCGGTTATGGCATTCACCCAGGAGACCCAGGGTCCAGTCCCCCTGGTCTAGTTATACACAGTAGAACAACTTCAGCAGGAGAGATGGAGGAAGTCCCACAACAAAATATCCCATAGCTCAGTGATAAGAAGTGGGAGACCCAAACCTCAAATCCCTTTTCCCTATCAGCTAGAGAGGGGGAGTTGATCCCAACTCTCCCACATCCTGACTACCCTCCCCACTGGGCTAACAGTTATAAGGGACAGGACACCCCCTTCTCCTCTATTTTATGTGGGCATAGATGTGCTCAGAGCACACCTATTGCCTCAGGCTCCAAAGGGAAGGTAGGCCAAGGGATTGCCTACCTGGTGAATCCCATTGAGACTTAGGCAGAAGTTAGGTGCTGAGGGGTGTCAGGACTGAGGCGGCTGTGTGCACGTTCAGCCACTGAAATTTAGATGCCTTAGGGACATTACCAGTAGAAACATAGGCACCAGCTAGCAGTAGTTTTGTCAGTGCCATTAGGTGCCCATATCCAACATTTAGGCACCTAAAGTGGCAGCTAGACCAGAGTCCCTTTGTGAACCTAGGCCAAAGTGACTTGCCCAAGGATATTCAGAGAGTCTGGCAGAACAAGGAAATTGAACTAGGCTCTCCTAAAGCTTAAGATAGCATCTTTACCACTAGGCCATCCTTCATACAATCCCTCCCTCCGGTCTCTGGAATATCAAAGAGAACTCACCAGAAAACAAAAACGTCACTAGGAGAGTTTCACTTCTATTTTAGTCACAGTAGCTGTGATCACACTGGACCAAATATAACCTTTCCTCAGACAAAAATTACTTCAAAGAAATGGGATTTTCACCTATGGAAAGATTGCAGGATTTGACCCATGAGGAGAAATCTTGGCCCCACTGAAGTCAATGGCAAAACTCCCATAGAGTGTAATGGGGCCAAGATTCCACCCACAGTTTTTCTATGCTTAAGATTCTAAATTAGAGTCATCATTCCTTTGAATGAATATAGACTATTACGTGTCTACACACTGCCTGTTTGTTGAGTGTTGTTCACCTGTCATTCTTATTAATATTATATTAGTCCCTAATGGGGTCCTGATCCTAACAGGAGCCTTTGTGTTGGGCACTGAACAAACCTATAATAAGCCACGGTCCCTGCCTTGAACAGTTTGTAATCTAAAGAGAATCATAGAATCATAGAATATCAGGGTTGGAAGGGACCCCAGAAGGTCATCTAGTCCAACCCCCTGCTCGAAGCAGGACCAATTCCCAGTTAAATCATCCCAGCCAGGGCTTTGTCAAGCCTGACCTTAAAAACCTCTAAGGAAGGAGATTCTACCACCTCCCTAGGTCACGCATTCCAGTGTTTCACCACCCTCATAGTGAAAAAGTTTTTCCTAATATCCAATCTAAACCTCCCCCACTGCAACTTGAGACCATTACTCTTCGTTCTGTCATCTGCTACCATTGAGAACAGTCTAGACAGACAAATTACATTCCTATAACAATGGGAATGTAAAGTGGGGGAATGGAGATGAGGGTAATATAAGCTTATCTTGGGGGCAACTTGAAGATTCCTAATTTAAAAACACTTTTTCCATTATCATTTTAAAATGTGCCTTCAGATGATAATTCCAAATCCTCCCTTAATGTGGTGTCCAAGTCCTAGCATCAAGGGATTTGGTCTGCGCATACATGTGCATCAGGCTATTTGCTATCTTGCATTAGCTTACATTAGTGATGGTGCTTAGATACCCCTCTCCCCTCCCCCCATTTTATACACATTTGTGTAGTACCTGCTTAAAGTCTATACAGTCCAGTGATACTATGCTAATTATAATGTCTTGATTAAAAATTCTCTCTTAAGGCTGTTAGCTGATTGTAACTCTGTCGATTATGTTGATTGAAACTCCAGGCCAAGATTTTACAGTTTAGGAGCCAAGAATCCCATTTGACTTGCTTGCGTCAGCTACATGCAAATTGCATCTAAGAGAAGACCTTGTGCTTGCGTTGCCCAGACAGCCTATGTTTAATGAGGCTCAAAAGCTACTAAGTTCTCTTGCAGAACTAAAATAGAAAGGAAAATAAAATATGGCAAAATTAGATTGGCAGTGTTTCAAACAGCCTCTGAAATTGCTTATAAATACAAAAGTGACCCAATGATGCAGGAAAGTCAGAGACTACTCACAAGGGAGACTTTAGGGGAGTAGATGGCTCAGGATATTGGAAATGGGAAAGAGTGCTCTGCCTTCAGGTTTCTGTTTCAAAACTAGTGCGTGTTGGTAAAAAGTGAAAGACTGCTGTCTGGTTCCGATGGGAAACCAGCTGTGATCACAGTTTAATTCCCAGACTACAAGTCCACATAACAAGAGCTACCACTTACTCCAAGTCTGATGTAGTGTAACTTGTAAATGAAACGCAAATTTAATGTGAACTCCCACAATGCCCTTCCCAGAGCGCTCTCACTCCATACAGGAGCCCCCCCCAATAGGCTCAGATTCCCACATTAACTTGTATTGTTTTGTGAGGTGAGGCCCACTGTGTTTCTTTTTAATGCTTTTGGGATCTCCAGGGCAGAGTTGGTTGGCTTTCTTCTCTCTCCCAGAGATTCTGTTTTCCCCAGGGGTCATTCCTTCAGGGATTGGTTTGTTTCTCTCCTAATCTATTCTCAGGCTCTACCTGCTCCCATTTCTTCTGACATAACTTTCCTTCTGAGCTTAAGCCCTTCAAAATTTTCATGAAATAAAGGGTGTTTGGGCACAACACCTACTAATTAGGAGAGATTTGCCGGACAGAGGACTGTGTGTGGATGTAATCCAGAAAGTCAGGCACCCTAATAAATCGAATAGATGACCTCAAGACTGCAGCACCTAGAAGAATGAGGAGAGCATGGATGTAGGAAGAGCAGAAGTTTGCCGGGCCTATCTTAAGGGTATACAGCAAAAGCTGTGCACAGGCTAGCAAACCAGAGCTAGCTTGAATGCAGCTAGTATGGGTAACAACAACAATGAAGACAGCACCAGTAGAACAAGCCTGGCATTCTGGGCCTGAACTCAGCTTGCTAGCCTGCTCTGAAGCCCATACTATGCTCTCTTCACTGCTACATGTGCTAGCTGGATTCAAGCTAGCGTGGGTTGGCTCTGGACAGCTTTTTCTGTGTAGACATACCCAAAACAATTCCAAATGAGGAGGGGGGAGGGGTCCAAGTGGGAAGGGATGCAGGGCCTGTGACCAGATGACCATGAGCAAAAAGAGACTGCCTGGATCTCTCCTATTTCTCACTGTATGGGATATAGAAAGTATTTTGGTATTTGACACTTCACTTTCTGGATACCCAGAAACTAGGAGGTGCCATAGCCCTCTGGAGAAGGCTTAAGGAAGATTTAATACAGGTTTGTGGTTTGGGAGGATGCTTGAAGGGTGATTGAGATAAAAATATCTGTCTGCTCATCCCTTAATTAAGGGATCCACCAAGGAGATGAATGAACACGGAGACAGAAGTGATCCTTTCAGATCAGGGTTGCAGCTGGCTGTGTGCAATGTGAGAAAATGTTTATTGCTGGTGTCTGGGCTGTCCTTGTTCTGTGGATAAATACTTCAGTTGCACAGGCTGTCAGTCCAGCACCTTTCATAAGCAATTGCTAATTTTTATTTTTTGATTGATTTTAAAAATCTAGCTTTTAGATATAGGCTAGAACCAAGTTCCCTTAAGGCTAACTCCTTATACAGAATACATCTAAAGCCCTAATTATTTTTGAATCCCCCTGCTGTAACTTTTACACAACTTGCCTTACTGCATTTGCTGACTTTGGTCGTTCTATTTATTGAACTAAGCCTCTGTGCAATACCACCATCATGTCAAAGGAAACAAAACAAAAACAAAAAAAACCAACCTCCCAAATGGCTTTTAGGATGAGCTTACATTAAAATAAATCTACAGCCTTTCTATTGCTGCATTAGTCATTAGCTCAGGAAGCGTGACTGCATCAATCCTTTTCTTTCCTTTAAGAGATTAAAAGTCTTTGAGAGTATCTTAAATCTTTGTTGTAGAATACAATGCTTGGCAAGTATGACTAACTTTTCTTATAACTAATACTTAAAATAACTGGCTGTCCGTTCCAAATTCTACATTGTTCTTTAATATAGAGACCAGACTTTAGAGGCAGTAAATCCATTACTCAGTAGTACCTGCACCTACCCTCTAGACATTCTGGCCCAGATCCTCAAAAGGTACATAGGTCCCTAATACCCATTGACTTCTTGCATGAATAGCAGCAGTGAAACTGAGCCCTGGTCTACACTAGGACTTTAGGTCGAATTTAGCAGCGTTAAATCGATTTAAACCTGCACCCGTCCACACAATGAAGCCCTTTATTTCGACTTAAAGGGCTCTTAAAATCGATTTCCTTACTCCACCCCTGACAAGTGGATTAGCGCTTAAATCGACGTTGCCGGCTCGAATTTGGGGTACTGTGGACACAATTTGATGGTATTGGCCTCCGGGAGCTATCCCAGAGTGCTCCATTCTGACCGCTCTGGACAGCGCTCTCAACTCAGATGCACTGGCCAGGTAGACAGGAAAAGAACCGCGAACTTTTGAATCTCATTTCCTGTTTGGCCAGCGTGGCAAGCTGCAGGTGACCATGCAGAGCTCATCAGCACAGGTGACCATGATGGAGTCCCAGAATCGCAAAAGAGCTCCAGCATGGACTGAACGGGAGGTACGGGATCTGATCGCTGTTTGGGGAGAGGAATCCGTGCTATCAGAACTCCGTTCCAGTTTTCGAAATGCCAAAACCTTTCTGAAAATCTCCCAGGGCATGAAGGACAGAGGCCATAACAGGGACCCGAAGCAGTGCCGCGTGAAACTGAAGGAGCTGAGGCAAGCCTACCAGAAAACCAGAGAGGCGAACAGCCGCTCTGGGTCAGAGCCCCAAACATGCCGCTTCTATGATGAGCTGCATGCCATTTTAGGGGGTTCAGCCACCACTACCCCAGCCGTGTTGTTTGACTCCTTCAATGGAGATGGAGGCAATACAGAAGTAGGTTTTGGGGACGAAGAAGATGATGATGAGGAGGTTGTAGATAGCTCACAGCAAGCAAGCGGAGAAACCGGTTTTCCCGACAGCCAGGAACTGTTTCTCACCCTAGACCTGGAGCCAGTACCCCCCGAACCCACCCAAGGCTGCCTCCTGGACTCAGCAGGCGGAGAAGGGACCTCTGGTGAGTGTACCTTTTAAAATGCTATACATGGTTTAAAAGCAAGCATGTGAAAGGATTACTTTGCCCTGGCATTTGCGGTTCTGCCTTTGCAAAAGGTTTCTGGGGAGGGCAGCCTTATTTCGTCCTTCATGGTAGGACACTTTACCACTCCAGGCCAGCAACACGTACTGGGGAATCACTGTAGAACAAAGCATTGCAGTGTATGTTTGCTGGCATTCAACCAAAATCCGTTCACGCGGTGGGAGGAGGCAAAATGCAACCTTGTAACGAAAGCACATGTGCTATGTATGTAATGTTAACAGCAAGGTTTACCCTGAAAGAGTGTAGCGACTGTTTTATAAAATGTGTCTTTTTAAATACCGCTGTCCCTTTTTTTTTTCTCCACCAGCTGCATGTGTTTCAATGATCACAGGATCTTCTCCTTCCCAGAGGCTAGTGAAGCTTAGAAAGAAAAAAAAAACGCACTCGTGATGAAATGTTCTCCGAGCTCATGCTGTCCTCCCACACTGACAGAGCACAGACGAATGCGTGGAGGCAAATAATGTCAGAGTGCAGGAAAGCACAAAATGACCGGGAGGAGAGGTGGAGGGCTGAAGAGAGTAAGTGGGGGCTGAAGAGAGTAAGTGGCGGGCTGAAGACAGGGCTGAAGCTCAAAGGTGGCGGCAGCGTGATGAGAGGAGGCAGGATTCAATGCTGAGGCTGCTGCAGGACCAAACCAGTATGCTCCAGTGTATGGTTGAGCTGCAGCAAAGGCAGCTGGAGCACAGACTGCCACTGCAGCCCCTCTGTAACCAACCGCCCTCCTCCCCAAGTTCCATAGCCTCCACACCCAGACGCCCAAGAACGCGGTGGGGGGGCCTCCGCCAACCAGCCACTCCACCACAGAGGATTGCCCAAAAAAAAGAAGGCTGTCATTCAATAAATTTTAAAGTTGTAAACTTTTAAAGTGCTGTGCTTAAAGTGCTGTGTGGCATTTTCCTTCCCTCCTCCACCACCCCTCCTGGGATACCTTGGTAGTCATCCCCCTATTTGTGTGATGAATGAATAACGAATGCATGACTGTGAAGCAGCAATGACTTTATTGGCTCTGCAAGCAATGATTAAAGGGAGGAGGGGAGGGTGGTTAGCTTACAGGGAAGTAGAGTGAACCAAGGGGTGGGGGGGTTCATCAAGGAGAAACAAACAGAACTTTCACACCGTAGCCTGGCCAGTCATGAAACTGTTTTTCAAAGCTTCTCTGATGCGTACCGCGCCCTCCTGTGCTCTTCTAACCGCCCTGGTGTCTGGCTGCGCGTAACCAGCAGCCAGGCGATTTGCCTCAACCTCCCACCCCACCATAAACGTCTCCCCCTTACTCTCACAGATATTGTGGAGCACACAGCAAGCAGTAATAACAGTGGGAATATTGGTTTCGCTGAGGTCTAAGCGAGTCAGTAAACTGCGCCAGCGCGCCTTTAAACGTCCAAATGCACATTCTACCACCATTCTGCACTTGCTCAGCCTGTAGTTGAACAGCTCCTGACCACTGTCCAGGCTGCCTGTGTATGGCTTCATGAGCCATGGCATTAAGGGGTAGGCTGGGTCCCCAAGGATAACTATAGGCATTTCAACATCCCCAACAGTTATTTTCTGGTCTGGGAATAAAGTCCCTTCCTGCAGCTTTTGAAACAGACCAGAGTTCCTGAAGATGCGAGCATCATGCACCTTTCCCGGCCATCCCACGTTGATGTTGGTGAAACGTCCCTTGTGATCCACCAGAGCTTGCAGCACTATCGAAAAGTACCCCTTGCGGTTTATGTACTCGGCGGCTTGGTGCTCCGGTGCCAAGATAGGGATATGGGTTCCATCTATAGCCCCACCACAGTTAGGGAATCCCATTGCAGCAAAGCCATCCACTATGACCTGCACATTTCCCAGGGTCACTACCCTTGATATCAGCAGATCTTTGATTGCGTGGGCTACTTGCATCACAGCAGCCCCCACAGTAGATTTGCCCACTCCAAATTGATTCCCAACTGACCGGTAGCTGTCTGGCGTTGCAAGCTTCCACAGGGCTATCGCCACTCGCTTCTCAACTGTGAGGGCTGCTCTCATCTTGGTATTCATGCGCTTCAGGGCAGGGGAAAGCAAGTCACAAAGTTCCATGAAAGTGCCCTTACGCATGCGAAAGTTTCGTAGCCACTGGGAATCGTCCCAGACCTGCAACACTATGCGGTCCCACCAGTCTGTGCTTGTTTCCCAAGCCCAGAATCGGCGTTCCACAGCATGAACCTGCCCCATTAGCACCATGATGCATGCATTGTCAGGGCCCATGCTTTCAGAGAAATCTGTGTCCATGTCCTGATCACTCACGGGACCGCGCTGACGTCGCCTCCTCGCCCGGTATCGCGTTGCCATGTTCTGGTGCTGCATATACTGCTGAATAATGCGTGTGGTGGTTAATGTGCTCCTAATTGCCAAAGTGAGCTGAGCGGGCTCCATGCTTGCCGTGGTATGGCGTCCGCACAGAAAAAAGGCGCGGAACGATTGTCTGCCGTTGCTCTGACGGAGGGAGGGGCGACTGACGACACGGCTTACAGGGTTGGCTTCAGGGAGCTAAAATCAACAAAGGGGGTGCCTGTACATCAAGGAGTATTTCAGGCAGGACTGCACGGAGGGTTCCAATAAGAAATGGTGCACCTAAGTTATCGTTGTTATTGGAACAAGGAGGTTAGCCTGGCCTCTGATTGATACATGGCTAGATTTACCTCGCTGCACCTTCTCTGTGAGTGACTGCAGTGTGACCTAGAGGAATGAGTCCCCTAGACAGGGGAGGAGGCAAATGAGTACAAAACAAATCTGGTCTATTTCTTGTTTTGACCCACTCCATCTATCTTTTACATCTTTGGCTGGCAGCAGACGGTGCAGAAGGACTGCATGCCATCCACATCTCATGGCTGCTCGGCAGAAGATGGTACAGTACGACTGCTAGCCATCCCCATCTCTTGCCTGCCTGGCAGAAGATGGTGCAATACGACTGCTAGCAATCCTCATCTCTTGCCTGCCTGGCAGAAGATGGTGCAATACGACTGCTAGCAGTCCGTATCGCCTGCCCGCTCACCATAAGCACGGTTCAATAGGACTGACTGCAGGACTAAAGAGAATGACCTGGTCAAGTCACTCCAAATTTAGTCCCTGCGCCCATGTCTGCCCAGGCGCTCCCAGCCGACGCGGCCAGGAGCACCTCGGACACGATGAGGACGACTACCAATCGTATTGCACCGTCTGCTGCCAGAAGGCAAGGGGTTGCTGCTACTGTGCAGCAAAGCCGTACCGCGTCTGCCAGCACCCAGGAGACATAGGGTGACGGTTACCTGAGCGGGCTCCATGCTTGCTGTGGTATGGCGTCTGCACAGGTAACTCAGGAAAAAAGGCGCGAAATGATTGTCTGCCCTTGCTTTCACGGAGGGAGGGAGGGAACGGGGGCCTGACGACACGTACCCAGAACCACCCGCGACAATGTTTTAGCCCCATCAGAGTGCTCCATTGTGACTGCTCTGGACAGCACTCTCAGATGCCCGATTGTTTGCCATTGCTCTGACGCTGGGAGGGGCGCTTACAGGGTTGGCTTCAGGGAGCTAAAATCAACAAAGGGGGTGGCTTTACATCAAGGAGTATTTCAGGCAGGACTTCACGGAGGGTTCCAATAAGAAATGGTGCACCTAAGTTATTGTCCTTATTGGAGCAAGAAGGTTAGCCTGGCCTCTGATTGATACATGGCTAGATTTACCTCGCTGCACCTTCTCTGTAAGTGACTGCAGTGTGATCTAGAAGAATGAGTCCCCTAGACAGGGGAGGGGGAAGCAAATGAGTACAAAACAAATCTGGTCTATTTCTTGTTTTGACCCACTCCATCTATCTTTTACATCTTTGGCTGGCAGCAGACGGTGCAGAAGGACTGCATGCCATCCACATCTCATGGCTGCTCGGCAGAAGATGGTACAGTACGACTGCTAGCAGTCCGTATCGCCTGCCCGCTCACCATAAGACGGTTCAATAGGACTGACTGCAGGACTAAAGAGAATGACCTGGTCAAGTCACTCCAAATTTAGTCCCTGCGACCATGTCTGCCCAGGCGCTCCTGATCGACCTCACAGAGGCGACCAGGAGCACCTCAGACATGACGATGACAGCTACCAGTCGTACTGTACCGTCTGCTGCCACAAGGCAAGGGGTTGCTGCTACTGTGTAGCAATGCCGTACCGCGTCTGCCAGCACCCAGGAGACATAGGGTGACGGTTACCTGAGCGGGCTCCATGCTTGCCATGGTATGGCGTCTGCACAGGTAACTCAGGAAAAAAGGCGCGAAATGATTGTCTGCCCTTGCTTTCACGGGGGGAGGGAGGGAACGGGGGGCTGACGATATGTACCCAGAACCACCCGCGACAATGTTTTAGCCCCATCAGGCATTGGGATCTCAACCCAGAATTCCAATGGGCAGCGGAGACTGCGGGAACTGTGGGATAGCTACCCACAGTGCAACGCTCCGGAAGTCGACGCTTGCCTCGGTACTGTGGAAGCGCTCCGCCGAGTTAATGCACTTAATGCACTTAGAGCATTTTCTGTGGGGACACACACACTCGAATTTATAAAACCGATTTCTAAAAAACCGACTTCTATAAATTCGACCTTATTCCGTAGTGTAGACATACCCTGACAATGTCAGTTTCATATTTTGTTTCAGAATCACCGCCTTTTAGTATTTCCAAAAAGAATTTTTCCAGTTTGCAGAGAAATTTCAGCAAATTTGCTTTTGCTTCAAGAAAAACAAATCCATAACAACAACAACAAAAACCCAACCAAAAAATTTCTTATGAACTGAAAAGCATCAGTGTCAGTTAGCTCTAGTTTTAGCCCATGTTATCTGGTAGAGTTAAAACCTCAGTCCTCCTCTGCCTTGGGGGTTTACCTTGTATACCTTTAATTTTCCTAGTGATACACAGCTTAAGTCTGACAGATGAGGGCTGAGAATATCTCTAGGAGAGGTGAGGAAAGAGATTAATGGTTCTGAGGGTGAGTAAACAAAAATAAAACACAATGTGTATATTGAGGTACAAGTACTACTAACAAATGTATTACTTGTTGACAGTCATGATCCAGAGAACTCAGCACGCAAATTTTAGGTGAAAGTTTTTCAATTTTCTAAGCATTCTGGACAAAGTAAATTGATGGAATATATTTAAACATTATCTGTCAATTAAAGGCCCCTCTTATGTCCATAACCAATTACAAGTCTTAATTGATAAGTGGCAGAAATCACAAGCCATGCTATCAATTTGCATTAGAGGGGATACTAATGACAGAGAAGTGTCATTTGAGCAGCTAAGAAACTGCAGCCTTCAAAAAACTTTCGCAGATAATTAAAATGAACCACTTCTCAGAGGTAATAATTGATCTGTGCTGCTTGCTAGCTACCAGGAATTCAGATGGAATGCTTGCTCAGGCACCAGATACAGTTATTAGAGCTTTGGCTTAAATAAAGTCAGATGTATCCAGAATACAGAGGACTGACAAAATAAAAATATCTGGCAGAGAAATTCTTATTGAAAATGTTTTCTGAAATTAAACATCAAAGCTTCAAATATTTTCAGGTAAAGACTGTGAGCCACATTCTGAGCAAGTTCAAATCAGCAGAGCAATGTTGTCATCCATGAACTATGCTGATTTATATCAGGTGAGAATCAGGCCTGGTATTTTAAGGGTTAACTCCCTAAGAAACCAATTTAAAAGCTATTTTCCCCACACAGCTGACATTTTCACTAGGCTGTTGAATGTTGTTGCTTCACCACCATCTAATCAGAATCTCACTTAAGTGTTTACAGAGTGCTAGTCAGTGTGGTATCTAGCCAGGAG